CACTGTGTATTTATCTTGTGGTATTGAGTAACAGGGCAAGAGGCGGATGTGATCCACCTGCAGCTGCTGTGCACAGCGAGCGGTTTGGAGATTCAGGTCAGACTTGCGTTTTTACACCTTCCTGCGATCTGTGAGCTCTGACACGCCGAGAGCAGCTCGGCACACATGCATTCAGTCTGTTTTCTCATTTATTTTGCATGAGGCTGGCCAGACAGAGTCCCTCAGTGAGGAACTCCTGTCATGCTACAGGAAGAAGCTGTTTGATTTCTAACCACCTTTCCTCCGTCTCTGGCTGAATATTACAGAGATGTCTGCTTGTGTCGGTGATGACAGATGACTAATGCCAGTGTTGGCTTTACAGCGAGATTTTAATTGCGACTCTTCTGTGTAGCTCAGCATAGGATTAATCATCTTACTGCCTCAAAATCTCTTCATTTTTATACTTATTTATATTCTGTATGATTGTTTTTGCTTCTCTGTTAAAGCACTGGATAAACTCTGTTTTTCTTTTTTAAAAAGGTCGCACTATAGAAATAAAGTTATTATTATTAATGAGATGGCACTGAAATGTCAGTTAAAAGAATAGAAATAGAGTTATATGTTTCACATGGCAACAATGACAGAATAATAAAGTGCATTTTACTTTCATTCTGGGTCAGTTTTAAACCTGAAATGAGGAAAATGAAGGAAACCTGACCGAGGCTTTAACACTGCAGGTAAACCAGTGGTTCAAACCAGGTGGAAAACTGGAACAATCTGGAACGAGTCCTACAAATATTCACACAAAAGATCAAACTCTTTAGTAGATTGTTTTTACTTAGGGATTTCCTTGTTCGGCCAAGAAGAAGACCGCCATGTTTGTGGTCTGCAACCGGATTACATTCAAGACATAGAGAAGAAGTCACTCGTGCTTTTGTCTATTCTTTTTGGACATGAATGGACCTTCCTTACTAAATGCACATGATGCACTTTGAGTAATATGACATAGCTGTTTCTCTGTGTTATTTATCTATAACCTGAGTAATGCAATAATATTGTCTGAACTGTGTAAAGAACAATAAAATGGTCTGATTTGGTTTTACTTTGCAGATGATGCAAAACACACAGAAAGTAAGTGAACACAAAACAAACGTGTGCCGAATCAACTAAATGACACAATCTGAAAGAAAAAAAAGATCAAAAACTTATAATGCAAAATTAAACACAGACCAGGTTCAAGGCTTTTTAATTTCTGTGCATACCAAATTTTAGAAAAGCACAAAATCCAGATTTTTAAGCACAACATAAAAACATAAAGAGGATAAAAAATGACATGCATCATTTCTACTTTGCTGTGTTTGACACTTTTCTCCATGCAGTTAATTAAAACGTTAAAATAAATACACTATTTTCTGTTGTATCAACATTAACACACACACTCCATTGAGGTAATAGTCACTGATTGGTGGAGAAACATCAGCGCTGCCATGAATTATAAAAACAATCTAATACATAACAAAGAACAGAACAGGGATGTAAAATGCATAAGAATTCACTTTTCTCTTTGCTTTTTCTGAGTAATAAAAATGTATCTTCACCATTTACTGTTTAGGAAGCATCTAAATAAGAAGACAAGCAGTTATCAAGATAACAGGATTTGATCTTTATCTAATGCACATAATGTGACTGTTTTAAGACTAGAGAGGAAAATGAAAGAGAAGCGAGTCTAGTGTCGCTTAGTGCTTTTTAAAGCATATTTCAGTTTCTTATGTAAATGTGTAGTTTCATTGATTGATCACATCCTGTGTTCATCTGCAGTCATTCAAAAATATGAATAACTATGTTGATAAAAATGTTTGAAAAAATGACTCTATTAAACTGTCTTATAAGTTTTTTTTTACAGATCAAATGAGTGATGAGAACATTTAGAGGTGATGGCATGCGATGTGTGCACAACCAAACATCCTCTTATGCAAGTTTCATGCATGTAAAGCGAGAGTGCATGTAAGATTTCTCTCTCCAGAACAGACTGTACAGCCATGTGTGTGCTGCATGCTTGAGAACATTCTATACAGGAAAGCAAGTTCAATAAAACTTTATACAGCACCAATTCACAACCACAGTGACCTCAAAGCACTTTATACTGGAAGGTACACACCTCACAATATTAGAGAGAAAGCCCAGTCTCAGTGTTCAGATGGTCTCCTGTGAGATCAGGCAATGGCGGGGAGGAAAAACTTTTAACAGGAAGTGACCTCCTCAGGGAGAGGTAGCCACAATCCAGTCTGAGCCAGGAGCAGCATGATTATGGTGCTCCTGGCTCAGAGTGCCTGATCCAGAGCTTACTATTAGCTTTGTAGTAAAGGAAAGTAATGGTAAAGCTAATAGACTTTTACTGCAGAGGAGTCCATGTGTAGCTGCTGGAGTACATTTGACGACTAATTAAGAATTCTCATTTAAATTCAATTCCTCATCCTTCTGAAAATGATATGTGCTCACAGGATTTCGGACGACATGCTACTGGTCCCAGCTGTGGACACATTAGCCTCAGTCTTCTTGTAGGAAAATGATCTGTAAGCATCAAGCAAGTTTTTAAATTGTGGACCGTTGATTCTGTAAATGAATAATAATAATAAATACTACTACTCCTAGTACCGCTTATAATAATAAAAAATAATAATAATACTGCTAATTTAGCCCACATTTGAGAAATTATTTTGGTATGCGAGTTGTTGTAATAATAAAAGTAAATAATATAACAATTTTTTTTTAAAGTCATAATAACACTGTTCTAATTTTTTTTAAATCAAAACCTGATTATGTGTTTTGTGTGGTATTAAATATTATTTATTTTATCTATCTGATGTAGCATTTCAGTGTAGATGTACGATCTTGTGATTTCTGGGTTCAGAAGTTCAAGGAGCCTGTTTTTTAATGAATACACATCAGTCCTTAAAGAGCTGCAGATTATCTGTGTTTTTAGATTTTTAGATTTTAGATAAACTACTACCATGCTGAAAATAAGCAGAACTCAATGTAAAATTTTCCCCATCTTCATTTCTTATGACCATTCTGGTATCTTCACAAATGTTGCAGCAGCATCCTGCTCACAGTCGCTCCTGCTTTGATGAACGCATCTGCGTTTCTTATTTCTTCATTTCTTCATGTGCTCTGGCAGGTTTTCAGTCTTTTGGGTCTCTGCAAGTTGATTTAAATAGGACTGTACATTAGTGCAGTTCTTTGAAGATTTATTTATTCAGCAGGTAGGTTTGCAAGGTACATTTATCATCTGAATATTCTTGAGTGTGTTGTACCTGCAGGACATTGAATAAGATATTAGCATATATCATTTGTATGACTGTTATGTGGTATTTTAAGTGCAAAACGTGATGCTGAACTGAAATTAAAACTGTATTTTTTTAATGTTTTATTCCAAAATATGTGAAAAATCACTTAATAACATAGTCAAGACATCACTAACATGGTAACCACAGGCACAGTTATCCACCCACTTGCTGTTATTTGTGACTGGCAGCCAATCGGAAGAAAGACAGCTTAAAGAGGGGAGGATCATTTTGAGTTGTGAATCATGCAGAGTAGAAAACAAAGGTTGGAGGTCCATTTTGATTTCTAGTGTTTTCTGTGTCTGCTTATGTAGAAGAGCCGTGCAGCCAGTTTGTTCAAAAATTGAAATATTTTAGTGTAAGTGACAAATAATGCTGCCTGCTGAGTGGTTGACTGCACTAATAACTTAGTCCAATTTCTTTTCCAGTTATGCTCACTTCTACCTTTAAAAACTAACATGGCAACAGTCAAGACATTGACGCTGAGTCTTTAAAATGTAAAGTCCAGAAGCCAGTGGATGACAGCTCTTTGGTTTAAACCCTAAATGTCAGCTCAGCATCTTTCTAGGGATCATATGATGGCGCAGCATTTATAGAGAAGTTTCACTCTCATTGTAAACTCATAGATATTTAGTTTCTGTTCCCAACCATTCCCTTTATCCAATTTTCAAACTTTGAAAAAAAAAAGTATGATGAAGAAATTATCAAACCAGTGAGTGATGTCCAGATTTCAGGTTAAGTAATTTAATTTAATTGGGTTGCTAAAAACTAGGGTTCACTTAAGATGCTTGCATATTAGAAGAGATTCATCACAAGATATTTGGCCACTTGGCGAAATAACCGCTGGTGAGACAAAGTGGGCTTGACCTGAGATAGATTTTTCTGTATTTGCAGTTGAGTGACTGAAGTGACTCTCAGTGAGAGTGAAGAGTACCTGTGATTGACGTATAACCTGGTAGTAAATACATTAAAGGGTTACCTTGGCAACTGGAGCCTTCTTTAAAATGTAAATGTGTGGTATGTTTCATAAGTTTGTGTAGTTTATGTAGGTGCTCAAAAAACATAAATGCATACAAACTTTTAAAATAAATAAATAATTGATCCAAATCTTAATGATGCCAAGATTTTCACTGGGAATTTGTGACAGAAGAATAACAGCAAGAGTGAAAGGGAAGGTTTAGAAGAGTTGAAGATGTTAATATTTTCAGTGGGAATGATCAGAAATTAGAACATCAGAGGGACAGCTCAGGTCGGACAGTTTGGAGGCAACTTTGGAGGTTTGGACATGTACACAGGAGGGTAGCGGATATCCTGGATTTTTAAGCTGGAGCTGTTAGACAGGAGGGAAAAGAGAAGACAACAGAGAAGATTCACTGATGTAATTCAATTCAATTTTATTGATACAGCGCCAAATCACAACAGCAGTCGCCTCAAGACTCTTTATATTGTAAATTAAACCCTGCAATAATACATACAGAGAAAACCCCAATAATCATATGAACCCCCTATTAGCAAGCACTTTGGCGAAAGTGGAAGGAAAAAGTCCGTTTTAACAGGAAGAAACCTCCGGCAGAACCAGGCTCAGGGAGGGGCGGGGCCATCTGCTGCGACTGGTTGGGGTGAGAGAAGGAAAACGGGGGACGTGGTGAAGGAGGCAGATGATCTGCTGTGATAACTACTAAATACTACTACTAATAATAATAGTAACAATAGCTCATTGGTTTAATGTTGGGATCTAATAAATAATAAAAAACCACACAGAGAGAAGACACGGCGGAACCCGTGGCTTTTATTTTGATACGGTGGACTGAAGTTGGAGGGAAGGCGTCACTCTTGGTGCAGCTGCAGCAGCAGAGCGAAGACCGCAGACTGCAGACGAACGCTGAGCGTGTTTATCTTCCGTCCTCAGTCGACTTCATTCACTCTACTGACCCGTCGGGGAAACTTCATTCAGCACAGAAACAGGACTTTAATAAGATTTTTCCTGCATTTGATAAAAGTTTAAAATATGCTGCTGCGCTCAAACTGCGCAGGGAGAAGCGGGCAGGCTTAGAATAAACTCGTCTAAAGTTTGAGTCGACTCCAGAGGGGAGGAAAGGTAAGCCGAACCACAATAAATATCAGAAATATTCAAAGAAAAAGCTGTTTGTTAAAAAGACTCAGGTCAGCTCCTGCTCACTGCTCTTCCTCTTTTTCTCAGTTTCTCACTTCTCCATCTCTCATGTTAGTCGCTGAAAAGCAAAATGTGTCTTTTAATTTAATATAGATAGATTCCCGCAAATAAAACCCAACAGCTCGTTCTTTCAGCCTTTTAAATTCAGTTGAATTCATTAATTAAGGCTGAACTCCACTTGAGGCTCTGACATCTTCTGGTTATTCGTCAGTGCCAGTAAACTCATGGCAGATCTTCACGCCTGAAGTAAGAATTTCTCGCATTTTCTGCCTGTTTCTCAGATCTATTTGAATCGGATTATTTGTTCCCCATTTTGCATGCTTAGAGTACCCCCAGCTTTGGGGAAGTGGTTATAAAAGCTATTGTTGGTGAGAAAAAGAGAGGGCCTGCGTGTACTTAGTTCATAACTGACATTAATTCATCAGACTTGTGAACAGCTGCTTCTGTGGCTGCAGTTGGGTCAGACCTCATGTTAGAGGCCTGTTCCATCTCCTCTAATCGAGCTGTGGTGGTCACATCCTCCTCTGCAAACACTGCATGAAGCGTGTGTTGAAAGAATGAGCATCAGGAGCCACTTTCTATTTGACAAATAGACTAAAAGTGGAATAAATTCTGTTTCTTCAATTGTGGAATGTGAATCCAACAGAACATCCAGATGAAAAATGAAAGGAACAGTTGTTAATTCAGTTATATATGCTGCTATATATAATCATTTTATTTTATTATATTTTATTATATTTTCTTCTACTGTACCATGCTGCTGAGTGACTGCTGCTCGTCAAACACATTTCATTGCAATGTTGACCCTGTGCTAACTTGCATATGACAAATAAAACTGAAACTGAACTGCTTTTTACTATTGGGTCATAAAAGTGGCGTCAGGTGTATTAGGCAATTTTGCATCATGTTCTGCTTTTAAGAAAGCTATTAAAATTCTCATTTTTTAAGTATTAGTTGCTAATTCATCAAAGGAAAACACAGAGGCCCTTTGAAAAGTTAAAAACGGTTAAACAACAAACGTATGAAGCGTTGACAAATGAGAACATTTATAGAGAAGTTGTAATGTAATCACAGTGTTTACAGCTAATTAAACTTCCATAAACTTGATGATGTTTTTTTTCCAAATCATTGATCCACCAGTCCAACCTTATCCTGTTCCCATTCTGACAATCATACCTCAACTTTGGGTGTCTGCTGATGACAGTTACCATCTGATAGCAGGGTTACATTAATGAGCTGTAGTCCTCACTGGAAACGGGGCTAATATAAAACCGATTTTAGCTCAGTGTGAGTGCTTAGTGAATTTAAATGGTTTTAAATGGTCATGCTAGTTTGGCCTGTCCTTGCTCTCAGTGCCGCTGCGAGAGCACACGGAGTGGAGCAGACAGAGATAACTAAGGTGAAATCATGTCAATCTAGTTATTTTACTGGAAGTGCAATAAGTTTCCCAGCGAGCGAAAAATAGTGACTCAGGTCTTTTGTGGTTACGTTTGCGTGTTTGGCAAACATACAAAAAAGGCGGCGTCACGAGCGTGAAGCACCTTGTTACCTGTTAGCTTCCTCAGAGCTTTGTTATGACGTATGAATGATCCAGCTTACCCAGTCAGTACTGGATTAGTATCAAAGCTGCATCCCAAATTTAGACAGCCCAGAGGTGCCACTTTGGACTGGGAAATTTCACATTTACATTTTATTTATTTTCTAATTTATTTTGAATTTTACTCAAGAGCTTCAGATAAATGCTGCACCACGTGGAAACTAAAATTTAAGCGGTTCAGCTAAAGAGTTTAATCTAAATACGTATATGAATTTTGATGTAAAACATTCATTTATTTAATATAAAAAGCAAAAGAAAGTGAAACAAAACAGCTTTTTTGATGTTTTTTTTAGTTTTGGCTCCTAAAAATGATGAAAAAAAGACTAAAAGCGAGCTTAAATGAACAACTGCTTATACATCTGATGCATCCTGTTACAGGGAACGTATTCCTGGGTTAGCTAATAATGCTTCTACACTAGATTTAGTGAACGATTTTAATATTGTTGTGTCTGGTTTTACTTGGAGTTTTCCCATTCTGCAGTCCTCTTTGCTTTAACTACCAGTAACGATTGTACGCTGTGTGCTCTTTCTCTACATGTCTACATATTGAACTCCTTAATAGGCACTGGTGCAAATGTTGGGTTAACGACAAATTCATGTTTTACATTTTGACCCCTTTGAAACACTGATCATGATGTGCGACAGTTTTAAAAATGCGTAAATTGTACTTTAGTGGCATTTTCTGTAAGTAAAAAGGATTTCTGAGCAGCATGTAATTTCTCCCAAGTCATTTTTATTTACGGGGCACACAACAAGCAATGCTGAGGAAAACCATTATAAATATGAATCAATCTCCCACGTACCTTAAAGGTCCGAAAGTCGCGTTGACCCAACATCTACATCTGAGAAGCTTAAAGCAGCAAATTTCTGCCCTAAAATTTTAGATTATAAAAATGATTTTGTTTGTTTTCCTCATTACTGAAGATGATTGTGATGACCCATCAGGATACCTGACAGATCAAAAGCCAGTGATATATTTACCATCCCAGCAAAGTTAAAGCTTTACTTTTTGAAACTTTTAATTCAGAGAAAGATGTCAGTGACTTCTGCACTGCTGGTGAAATCTAAGAAGTTTCAGAGCACCGGTGTGAACTCTTGCATTTGCAAGGGTCGCTGCACAGAGGCAGTTTATGATGCAGGTGCATCAACATGAGAAAGACGCTTCTGAAAGTTGCAGTTGGTTGCTAGTACCACTGAACAAATGCGTGCAGCCTTCTGTTTGCTTTTAGTACTTGGTGGATATGCTGAAAAGGACACTAATTAAGTTCTAAACTAATTCAGGTCAGCAATCGAGTGTTATTTTTAAGCACAACATGCTGGGATTTATCCAGTTTAAGCCTCAGATATGGAAACATTTAATGCTTGTGGCAGCTGGAGTTACTGAGTTTGAGGCTCTGAAATGCTTCTGTTTTCCCTCTTTAGTACTAAATAATGTGAATTTTTGGCAAAACATGGCATTTGAAACATTTTTAGGCCACATAAATTCAGACTAATTGAGAAAATAATCCCCAGATGAATCAGTCTCTTAAACCATGACCAAACTTGATACAGCAGAGACGACAACTTTGATTGTCTAAATAAAAGAGTATAGAAATGCTTTTAAGGCATATTTGAAACTGTACTAGCAAACTCTAACCACAAAGCCCTGGCTGCATACTGGTCAGTGTTTCAGCTGTGCAGCACATAACAAGGGGGTTTCCTGAAGCTGCAGCCTGCTTTAAAAACAGCTTGAATTGCACCTGTTATTTATTTTTAATGGACAGTTAGTTTGATTAACTAAAATGAGCCTTCATTAACTTTAATCTTAACTCACCTGGTTTATTCTGTTTAAAAATCCTTTTAACCATTCATATTAAAAAAATATTATTATTTTGTCCAAAATCAGCACGTCAGGTTCACTAAAGCAGTCCTGATTGCCACACCGTCGGTGTTGTTCCGAATATTTCATTAAAACATATACAAAAATCTGTTTAAGTAGGCAGCATCAAGCTTGTATTTGCAGCAGGAACTACAGAGCAGCAGAGGTACAGTGTTTATATTTATGTGTCCACTTTTTGCTCTTTTTTTAGCCACTTTAAATATTTACCCAATACCATTAATAAAAGAGAAATCTTTCAACTTCAGTCTAAGGAGCTTGGAAAGAAAGCGAGTGGACTTGTTTAAGTTGAAGATGTTTCACCGCTCGTCTGATCTGTGGCTGTGATCAGCTGTCAATCCAAAGGTTTCAACTATTTGTCTGTGAGTTTTACCCATCGCAACTCTTTACTTATTACTGAAAGAAGAGTTTTTCAACTGGTAGTTCACAATTTTTAGCAGTTTCAGCTGACAACCTTTGGTTACTGTTGTGTAATCTAAACCCGCACTGATACTGAATACACAATGAGATAGAATAGATTTTAGTTTACTGTTTGCACATTACTGCTTATTCATTTCATAGTTTGAATGATTGTGTTGTAGCTACCATTGCAAGATTTAATCTGTTGTTTTTATCCAAATCTTTCAAGGATTGGTCCATAACCGTAAGCTCATCATTTCAGGTCTAAATCTGTGACTTTTTGTTGATGGATGTCAGCTGTTTACCCATATCTTTAAAGGACTTCAGCTTATGTTTCATAGCTTTTAGTTAACCATTTCAATCATTAAAATGGGTTTTGCAGTTTTTACTGCTATCCTCGCAGGTATTTGTCTTTTTCAATTGGCATTTAAGCAGCAAGGCTTGCAAAGATGACTTGTGAGCTGTGACGTAATAAGCTGAGGCTTTTAATCTAAAACAATTCAGATATTTTATAAAAAAGAAATCAATAACAGGGTCTTTAAAATGATGAAAACTAAACAAGGCATTAACTGAACTAACAGACCTGATACAACAACACATGAGAAGAAGTTTAGGGTACTTTTCCATCACTTGCAACTCTTCCTCTTATCTCCTCCCAAGGGTCTGAGAGAGAGGAAGAAGTGCGAGAACAGACGAGCCGAAGCTGCCAACTGAGAAATCCTTTGACTTTCAGCTAGTGACACCTTTAATGTTGCTTGTGACATAAATTAATTCCACAAAACTTGTTTTCTTTTCGGATCAAGTAAACCTACAAATAAAATCATACACCGGTACCAGTTCTCTTTTTTTCTGCACTCTTGTTGATTTCAATCATCATTTGCCATTTTTTAAAATCTGGGTTATTCGTGCATTCGTTTTATCTGTTGCTATGATTAATTATGCTGTTTCTTTTCTCATACTGTCGTTATCTGATCCACATTATCAAGACTGTGTGACGCATGCGATTCATGTGAAAAATAATCAAAAATTAAGATGCGGCTTTGTGTGACATCACAGCACTTTGTAGCTCAACAAATGTTTTACTGTTACTTTTTCAGTTACATTGTAACGGTTTGCATATTCTGTTACGTGCATACATCACTGAGAAATGTGTCACGTGACTCCTCAGCTACCACCCAAGTACAGGACCCCCGCCTCCCTTGTTTCACAATTTCCATGTCTAACCGTTATGTGTTGTGTAATAAAACTATTATAATATGACGCTGTGCGCTGTGCTCTGCGATACGACTAATTAAATATTCAATATTTTAACTGTTAATCTGTGATTTATATTTAGCTGTTAATTTGTCATTTTTAATGCAACACAATTCAACTGTTAATCCATGACTTTAACCAAATGTTTGTATAGTGTCCTTGGATTTTTGAAAGGTGCTATACGAATCTGTTATTATCCTTCTTATTACCATCCTGTGTTTTGAATTAACTGATGAATCTGTCTGATTAATTCAGCAGTTAATCCCTGATTTTTACTGGGATGCTTTAGCTGTTCCATGACGTTCTGTTGAGTAAATCAACTGCTAATCTGGGATTTTGATATGGCTAATTAAGATGTTAAGCCCTGTTTAGTTTTTGTCTAATTCATATATTAATCATAACTTTTAGGTAAATAATTCAGCTTTTAGTCCTGGATTGTTATCTGACTATTTTGGCTGTTAATCCTTGACTTCAAAATAACTAATTCAGCATTTAATCCAACAATTGTACTTTTTAAAAATTCCTTACTTTAGGTACACTTTTTCGACTACTTAACATGTTAATTCCTGTTTTTTATCAGCCAAATGTAGTTGGCAGTCTTTGGCTTTCATTGGATTACTTTAGCTGTTAATCCAAGGATTTACAATGATTAATCTAGTAAACTTTAAACTTTTTATTCACTGTTTTAGCTACACCTTTTTGTGTGTTGCTTCAGGTTACCTAGCTCCTATATATTGGCTTTTACATACTTCCCTGGCACCTGCAAAAGTACCGCTGGCCTGGGATAACTAGTCTAATTAACAGGAACTAAAGTTTTTTACATCTGAATTTGAGTCAGTTTTCAGACATCTGTTCATTATTAAAGATAAAAACCATTATAAGGGTTAAAGTTTATTTTAAGTCTGTGTGTGGTTTAACAGGTGGCATTTGTTTGCTAGGTTAATATCAGCATCGGGTGTTATGCAGCTCTGTGTCTCTTGTCAGAACTGTGTAAGGTTGCAAAGTGCTCTACAGCTGCAACGATAGAGCCAGCTTTTTCACGAAAGCTTACCACATCCTTCACTTTGTAACCACAAACAAGTGAAGGTTTTATTCACGTTGGTGGGAAAATAAAATAACCAGCTGTGATGATAACTGCTGTCATGGGATTCAGATCCTTAACATTAGATCCACGTTTTAGAGCTCCTTCGTTGGAGAATTGCATTTTCTCGAATACTGCGTCGACCCCTGTCTTCTCATCCTTTCTGTATACGTTTAAATAAACTGCAGGGAATGGAGAAGTGGCGTCTGTGTCTCTCCATAATGTAAAAATGGACGACAAATGAAGTTTTCCAGTTCCTGTTTACTCCTTGCATGTCATTCCCTTGTCCTTCCTTTCCATGTCCTATAAATTACGAGCTGTGTATAAGTATACCAGAGCCCAAGATGGTGATTTCAAATGTCTCATAAGAAATATTGAGTTCATTAGCACAAAAGGCTAAAAATACCTCGGCACTACAAGACTGAATGGTTGGTTCCAGGCAGAGGGTGCACACTGAAACCTATTAGAAAATAAAATACGCATCATTAGAGTTTCTGTTGTAGTCCAAACATAAGTATATGGTGATGGAAGCATAATAACTAACATTTACATTTACAACAGCTTGAGCTCTTGTGGCTTCCGACAGACACAAACCACACTATCAGTTTAAATAAAATGCTGTTGTCTGGTTTGCATGTTCAAGTTTCACTGCTGTCAGCTGTATTTTTACAACCTGTAAATCATAACTTGTGTTGGTGTTTGTCTTCATCCCTGCAGAAAAAGCCCTTTGCCACTTCTCCTTCACGTTCTTCTAAACCTCCCTGAAACTTCTCAATGGAAGCCTCAGGAAAGTATGACTTTATCGCAACAGAGGACGAGGAGCTCAGCTTCAGAAAGGGTGATTTACTAAAGGTCAGTATATGATTAGATAATGAAGGCATGTTTTCCATTTCCTCCAGCTTGACACGTTTTGTTTTTGCTTTTGAACAGATTATAAACGTTGAAGGTGATTGGTGTAAGGCGGAGATGAATGGACGGGAAGGATTTGTACCACATAACTACATCGATTTCCAGATTCCGGGGTAAGAGAGGGACCTACAGCCTTGAACTACAAACAGATATCTTTTGAAAATCCAATGGATGTGTAAAAATCATTTCTTTGTGGGGGTCTTGAACTGAGGCGTGAGCTGCAAATTGACTCACGATGCCAATGCTTTTACCCTTTGAGTGGAAAATCTTCAGTGTGTGCGCACTGACACGAAACAACAGAGGCGGAGCGAGGGGCCTGGTGGACAAGAAGTGAAAATACGGTTAAAATCAGTGTCGAGAAACACAAATTAATTCAGTTAAGTTTCATAATTTTTGCACAAACTGCTGTGAGAGCTTGTAGTAGGGTTAGACTTGGGTTCACATCAACTCTTGTACGAAATGTTTGGCTTAACCCAGGGAAATTTATTCTTACAGGATAGTTTAGGCCAAACGGCGTGTAAAAGACTGCTGTAGCTCAGGTGGTAGAGCAGGTCATCGGAAGGTTGGTGGTTCGATTCCTGGCTTCCCCTAGTCTGCATGCCAAATATCCTTGGGCAAGATACTAACCCCAAATTGCTCTCCGATGCATTCATCGGAGTATGAATGTGTGTGAATGTTAGCTATGAAGCACTTAGAAAAATGTGCTTGTGCGAATGGGTGAATGCACAAGTTGTGTAAAGCGCTTTGAGTGCTCAGATGAGTAGAAAAGCGCTATATAAGAACCAGTCCATTTACCATTTGAAAGGTTTTGTTGTTTGTGAAACTATGGCTGATTGGCTAAAACAGAGCATAACTCTAACTCGGGCAAACATAAAAAAGCAGCAGTATAAACAAACCAAAAGATTTAGGCAATTTTAGCTTTTTTATTGTTGTGAGTGAGACATTGAGCCTCAGTGGGATTACAGGTATGAATAAAGGGCAAATAAAAACGACTAAAGCAACATTGGTTCATTCTTGGTTTTAAACTTTTGTAACGATTCCTGGCCGCTTTGTGCACAAGTGTGAGTGACTTAATTTAGATAACCAGCAGCATTGTGGCCTCTGTGTGCAGGTGGTTTAAGGAGGACGCCAGTCGCAGTGCTGCAGAGGACATACTCAAGTCCAAAACTGTCGGGGAGTTTCTGATCCGAGGGTGCCAAACCTCCCTGGGGGATTTCTCCATTTCTGTCAAGTGAGTAAAGCAATGGGAAGTCTTAAAGTTTGGCTCACAGCTATATTTATGCTGAAGCTAAATGCGTACTTTAGCGTGCCTACATGCTGATGTTCAGCATGTTTAACTATGCTTAGTCAACATCTGGTTTGACAGTTAAAGGGGAAGTAAATTATAGAATATTACCGAGTCACTTATTCTGTTTGTTCAGCTCTTTGACAGCATGCTAGGCATATTAGTACGTCAGCGTCTTCAACCAGCATCAAACTGGATATCCATTCTTTTAGTTCATAAAACAGTAAAGAAATATTTTTACATTTGTTTCGCATATAGACCAGACGGGGCTAGATCCAGATCCAGAACCAAATGGTGTTGTTTTTCAAGAACTCATCACATAACCTGATGTTTTACCTTCTTTTTCTTTAAAAATGTAAACTGAACGTCTTTGAATTTGGATAAAATGAGACAATCGAAAACATCACTTTGGATTTCTGATTACCTTTCTGCTCTTCTTTGACATTTACTTGATTTTTAATGATTAATTCAAGAAAAAATTACTAGTTGCACCATGTAATGTGTTATAAAAATTGTGCTATAAAAACCAATCACAAAGTTTTTCATTTGGCTCAGCGGTGAAAGTCTGCTGGTGTCTCGTATTGACCGGTTTTATGTGTCATGTAAACGAAGGGAAGATGCTAAAGTTTCGTTTATGTTATGTTTCTACCAAGCGGCTGGCTCCAAGTGAGAGTCAATCTCCCAATACTGTTAAATGATAACTTAACCGTACACCTTCTAAATATGGTCTAAGAAACTAACATTGTAAAAACCGTAACTCAAAATAATATGTCCAGAAACCTGTGGGTGATGATGCTGTCTATTTTATTAGTAGTTTATGGTTTCAAGCTAAACTTCCAGCTCTGTGTGCTGTTTGAGTGTCACGTGAATGGACAGTGGTAGAGACCAGTTTCACTCTCATTCAAAAATGCCGAATCTTGGGTTTCAGTTGAAACCAAACTTCCTTTTTCCAACTTTGGTAACTAATAAACACCAAGATTTTGCAATGGATGGCACCAGCCACAACACCGAGGGTTTGTTTGACCACACTGTCATTAAAAACAGATGCATATTCACTGTGTACAGAAGATTTATACTTCGGATCTTAAAGTGTTACAGCGACTCCGTTAACCTATCCCACAACCCCCACTGCTCCTGGTAACCATTTTGGTTTGAACCATAACCGGCTATACACTTTCAAAACCGTCTCTTTGGTCCAACTACAGTTCCCATGAAACAGGCCAATCGGATTAATATAAAAGTACGTTATATCTGCATTATTTCTCCCAGCCAGCAGAGGGAGTCTCGTCTGTTTGCGAAAAGACGAGCTAATGAAAAAAATAACCATACTTGTCACTTGAACTGTAACTCCAGTGAACATGGTTCATGGTCTCAGTTGCTAGTTTCAGGTCTTATTTAATACTTAAGTCTTATTTCAATACAATATGAGGTTAATTTTGTAGCTTAACCTCATAAATCAGAATAACACACACAAATAAAACAGAGTATCCTTTAGAGCTGTGCTTTATGTGCATCCAACATAGACATAGCACCACAAGTGTCAAAATGAAATAAATACATAAACAAACAGTTAATTAAAAGTGTAATTAATTAATTGTGGATTTATTTAGTCAAAATCCTATTCACTGTGGTTAATATGGTACTGCATGCTGTGCTGCATGAATTTATTTATCTTTAACCGCAGCACCAAAGTCAGTGGGCGGGACTAAAGCTGCTCTAGTCAAAGCCTTGCTTTGCTTTTGGTCAGTGTTTGTTTCATACTAAGTATAAAGAGTTTGAGTTTTCATGCTTGCTCGTTCCTGCGTGACAAGTACAGTCAGGACTGGAGGACAGCTCAGAGTGAGACGGCAGGTTGATAACATCTGACACTTGGCGACACTTGTGCACAGCTTCACTGAGTACTTTACCGCCTTTTTACGCCTCAGCCATAAAAGCCTGATGGCGTATTGTCGTCACCCTGCTGGGTGGGCGGGTAGCCAGCTAGGCGACATGGACACCAGAGTTTGTGAATGCGATAACTGGAGATTAAAGCGACTGATACCATCGGTGTATCTACTGAAAACCTGAGTTCGAATCTCAGTGACCTCGACCTCAAGGTGAGAGGTCAGAGGGAAAGTTTTCTGAAAATGTACACACAGTTGATATTTGGATTAAGAATTAATTTAATTAATTTAATTAATTCATTATGTATTTAAAACATTTTTTATTTACAGTTTTAATGAAATAATATTTTGGTGATGTATTTACTTATTTCATTTTGGCACTTTTGAGGCTGCACAGTTATTCATGTAAGGCTGCTGTATAGTTTTTCCAGCATAAAGTGACACACAAAATCTATGTACTTCGTTTATGTCAGGGGTGAGGAACTCCAGGCCTCGAGGGCTGGTGTCCTGCAGGTTTTAGACGCATCTTTGATTCAACACAGCTAATTTTAAATAGCTAAGCTACCTCCTCAACAGGTCTTGAAGTTCTCCAGAGGCCTGATAAGTAACTAATCATCTGATAAAGGTGTGTTGACCCAGGGTGAGATCTAAAACCTGCAGGACACTGGCACTTGATGCCTGGAGTTGGACACCCCTGGTCTGTGCACTCTGTAGACCAAAAAAAACAGTCAAGAAAATCATCAAATTGACATTTAGATTGTTTGAATTATTTTAATGTGCTTGTGCTTAAGAAAATAAATAGGTTGTTTTTAAACTGGAAGTGTGATAACATCTACTAAAAGATCAGTTAGAGTTCCCTAATATTTTGGCGTTGCAGTGTCACGCCCTCTGAGCTCTTTCCTCTTTCGCTGGAGGTTCTTATTTTTTATCACCAAAGGCAGCTGCAGAATAAACAAGCGAGGCAGAGGTGAAGTCAGTTTATCCTCTCGTGTCCGCTGTCTGTCAGACCACCAGCGCAGATGATTCCTTTTAGCGCTCTGATTACAGGATCCGCCGGGACAGTTTGAAAGACTGTCGTGCCGTATGTTATTTATAACACCCGTGCAAAATATCTCCAGTCCTAAATGGTTTCAAGACTCGTGTATTTAAATTTTTCAGTAACCAGTAACAGGTGCTGTCTTTTAGTATGTCCATGGGTTTTTAATGTTGTGGTCAGAGGTTTACGTACACTCGTGCTCTGGCATCAATGTCATGGTGATTTGGGGCTTTTAATGATTTCTTTGAACTGTTCGTTTTCATGGTTGGAATAACTGTACCGGAAACATCTTTATTAACTGTAATAAATGTGATTTGGGTGCACAAGTTTAAGTTTATTGTTGATTTTCTCCAATCCACACAGACTCAAAAGTATACTTACAGGGACATTCAGCCACACTAATGTTTGGTTTAATCTCATTTAGCAAGTTGCACCTCGACCAGACTCTTTTCGTAGCTTCTGGCATAATTATTTCTGGATATTCGACCATTGTTCTTCGAAGAATTGAAAGAGTTTCTTCAAATTTGTTCCAAAACCAGTTTTAATGTGTGTCTGGGATCATTGTTCTCTTGGAGCACTCAATCTTGCCCACGTTTTAACTGTATAGTAGTTAAGTTCATTATTACATCCATGTTGTGCAATGTACCATTGGCATTAAATTAGCACCAGAGCATGATGCTAACACCACCGTGCCTCAGCTTTAGTCATCCAAACATAATTTGGAAAGAAACTGAAGTTTAGGGGACTTCAGCTGTAGATCTCTGTATGACCTCTGTATAGTTGGGTGGTAGTTTTATACTATAAATTGGCTGCTTCCTGGGTGTTGGCTGAATTTTTGTTGTCAGCAACACATCACAAGCACTGTACATACAGTACCGTATGATTCATAGTGGTGAAAACGCTGGTCACACTTTAAATAAATAATACCCACACTTCAAGTGCTCTTAGGCCTGTTATGTGCCTTGAGTAGATTTACTTTTTTTTACACTATATAAATTGACCCAGTTATATGCTGAGGGAGTTTTTGTTTGATGTTGTTGTTTTGTGCATCGACCAGCAGAGGACAATCCAGATAAGGAGAGAGGAACCAGTGGGATGAAGGAAACAGGGAGTCGTCTGTTATGTAGATGTTCTTGCGCACTCCCTTTAGAAAAGAATGAGAAGCAGAAAAAAACCTCAAGAAATTAAACAAATTTCAACTCCTTCTTTCAGGGCACTGTTTTATAAGAGCTTCTGACCAGGATTAGTACATCAAGGTTTTCTCTCTATAATAAAGGGCCACGAAAGACTCTGTTTACTCAATTTTATTTCAGTTAACATCATTTACACAATCACACATTTGTTTCAATTTGGAAGTCTGATATGATCAAGGAGAGACCTTTCAGCCTTTGTCTCTAATCCAGTTTTAAGACCTGATTTACTTCAGTTTGGTCTTTGCTGCATATAAATCTGAACAGAAGTAGATGTGATGGATGCGATCCGTCAAATTAGTGTAAAAGTATAGCCAGACTGAAGCTGTATGAGGGGCCAAAAACTGATGTTTTAATGGATTGGCTTTATATAGCGCTTTTCAAGGCACTCAAAGCGCTTTACAAAGCGGTTAGTTCTGACCCTGAAATGTTATCCACATAGTGTTGTGTAATTAAAAATGACCTTTTGATATTTAGTAGTTATTTAGTCTGTGGGCCATGGATAGTAAAGATGTAATCTTTATCTCTTCTCCTCAGACATGAGAATGACGTCCAGCACTTCAGAGTGATGAGGGACAACAAAGGCCAGTACTTCCTGTGGCAGGAGAAGTTCACCTCCCTCAACAAGCTGGTGGAGTTCTACAAAACCAACACCATCTCTAAAAGCAGGGTGATTTACCTCAACGATGGCAGCCTCAACGACAGCAAAGGGTTCCCCTCCCCATCCCAGCCGGTAACGCCTCGAGCATATCTACAGAAATCAAAACCTGATTATAAATTTTACATTTTGCAGCAGACATACAGTAATGTGTCACACAGAGATAATGGGATAAATGATGTGACAGTTTCTGTGGTATTGCAGAAGGTCAAACCACATTTCAGGTGTCAGGCAAAAAAATGACGTGTTAAATTTCAGTGTAATGAGAATTTTTTTTCTAGTCATACTGAGAACATTTTTAACAAAGACTATTTGAAGCCAGCTCTGCAAAATCAGGGAAAATTAGTCTTTAATAGACTGAAAACATGACTGATAACTGATAAAACCGATAACCCATGATGATGATCTAAATGCCAAACACTCCAACGATGACATTTTCCAAAAGAACATTTTTACATGTTGATTGCAGAGAAGCTTTTGAACTCTTCTATTAAACCTCTTGACCTTTAGAAGAACTCCTGGTGAAGTCCTGGTGCAAGATGGGCAACGATAACCTAGCATGCTTTTGTTTTTCGATGGTAGGATAAGCTGGAAAAGCCTAAAAACAAAACTGTGCAGACAGAACTCTACACACATGGGTCCCCAACTGGCTTCAAATCATAGACTGTGTATAAACATGATGACACATGAAGGTTACAGAGCTGACATTTAGAAATCTCAGCGTTAGTGTGCTGGATGCGGTCATGCTCGTTTTTTTGGAGCCAGAGGTTTCTATATTTGGACATATGAGTTTGTTATGCTAGCAAATTGGACTCAGAGGTACCTGCTAATTGTGTTAAGGCTAATAAAATGTGAGCTAATTGTGCTAAGGCTAATAAAATATGAGCTAATTGTGCTAAGGCTAACAAAAAATATGAGCTAATTGTGCTAAGGCAAATCAAATATGAGAATTTCTCTTGTCCTAACTGAGCCTCACATTATTTCCTGTAGAAATGTTCCAAAAGGCACCGACACCATACTGTAGCTCGGCAGCTATAGCTAATTTTAAACACTAACTACCTTTGAATGCACAGTTGAAATTATCCACAAAGACCAAAACTGTTTTATTGACCACTCTGTAAAATGTTTATTTCTTCTAAAGCGGGACTTGTTGACATGGGGACCCACATTTGGAGGCAGCCTTAACTGGCCATTAGAGGAATTGCAGTTTTCATGCACAGACTTCATAGTTGCGCTCTAGAATTTGCTGCTTTGGTTCAAGCCTCTTTCTTAACCACTTAAGCCACTGTGTTAGGTGTGAAACTGAGACTGAATCAGAGATATAAATGTGCTCAGTTTCACAATGCCTCCCTCCCTATTATTAATAGAGGCCTGTTAATGTTGAAGAGATGCTGTAAAAGTGAGGCACCTGAATGTGAACGAACATGCGAGGAGGATTATCTGAAGCCACTGAAAAAAGCAGAATGATCACTTTATCACTAAAGCTAAGCTGTAGGAAAGCTGTAATGTTTTAAGCCTGTTCAGGCAGAGAGCGAGCAGGAAATACATGAAAATAATAGAGTATGTTTTTAGTTTATGATTAACTGATAAAAATCAGAACTGTGACCAGTTGTCCCCCTTGACTGATCATGTAAAAGAGTGTGAAGAGGAAATGAAAGCTAAGAAGGTGGTTTAATGTGAGCACATCAAAGTGATGGAGGGAAACTGTAAAAATCCTGAGAAACTAAATCAATCAATCAATCTTTATTTATAAAGCACTTTTCATACAGAAAAAATGTAGCACAAAGTGCTTTACATAGTTAAAAGCAGCCCACCCCACCCTCCAACTCACTCCCCACACTCTCAATACACATATATCCCCCCACCCACACACACAC